CAACCTGAGCAACCGACGACAGTATCTGTGGACGTTCATCATTGCCGATGTTCCCACAGCTATACTCGGTATCGATTTCCTACAGCACTATGAATTGCTAGTCGATTCACGTAGGCTGTAGCTAATCGATACTTCGTCGAACAGCAAATTTATGGGCTTTCGAGCTCATACAAATGCGTACCGAATAACAGGTTTATTTCATTCTCGTGATGACATTTTCCACGCTTTACTCGAAAAATTCCCCCAATTAACTAAACCACTCGAGGAGACTCCATCGGTGACCCGACATGTGGTTCACCACATCGTCACCCGCGGACCACCAGTCACGACAAAGCCTCGCCGACTGGCACCGGACAAATTAGCTTTCGCTAAACGTGAGTTCGACAGTTTACTAGCTACTGGTATTATTCGTCCTTCTCACAGTCCATGGGCCTCACCACTCCACATGGTTAGAAAAAAGGATGGGATAAGTTGGCGACCATGTGGCGACTACCGAGCACTAAATGTAGTCACGCGTTTCGATAGTTACCCCATCCCCCACATACACGACATCACGGCATCACTCAAGGGCACGACTATCTATTCCAAGATCGATCTGGTACGGGCATACCATCAGATCCCAGTCGCCCCTGAAGATATTGAAAAAACTGCTGTCACGACTCCTTTCGATCTGTTTGAGTTCCTGTGAATGCCATTTGGATTACGCAATGCTGCTCAAACTTTCCAGAGGTTTATCGTTATCATAGTACGATACTTTGATTTTGTTCACGTCTATATTGATGACTTGTTAATCGCATCAACAAACGTAGATAAACATTATCAACATCTGAAACTCTTATTCCAACGTCTCTCGGATAATGGAATACTAATCAACCCAGATAAGTGCGAACTCGGAAAAGCAGAAATAAAATTTCTGGGTCACGTTATAAAGCATGAGGGTATTTCACCATGTGAAGATAAAGTACGTACAATCATTGAGTACACTGTACCGTCTTCACTCAAAGAACTGAAGGCTTTTCTCGGCTTGGTCAATTTCTATCGACGTTTCATTCCTCACGCCGCGGAACAGTTACGACCACTAACCGATCGACTTCGCGGGAATCCACGTAAACTAGAATTGAACGATGACGCGCCTACTGCATTTTCCGAAATTAAAAAAGCTTTAGCTCAAGCGACGTTTCTCGCCCATCCCGACCCATCAGCCACGCTCAGTATATCGGTTGATGCATCCGATTTTGCTATAGGAGCCGTCATGCAACAAAACATCTCTGGAAGTTGGCAACCTCTCGAATTTTTCTCACGACGCCTTACTACCACGGAGATGAGATATAGCGCTTTTGGTCGCGAACTGCTAGCAGCCTACTGTGCCATCAAACATTTTCGGCAAGCAGTAGAAGGTCGTAACTTTATCCTTTTTACCGACCATAAGCCTATAACGTATGCTCTTCATACAAAATCTGACCGCTACTCACCACGAGAGTGCAGACATTTGGAATATATCTCCCAGTTCACGACGGACGTTCGTCATATTAAAGGCGAGTCGAACTACGTTGCCGATGCTTTGTCACGTATTCAAATGAATGCAGTTACTTTACCAGTGCTCGATCTTCCTGCTATGGCCGCCGCCCAAGCAAACGACCCTTCTTGTTCAGAAGCACAACAAAATACATCCCTTCAGTGTCAGGAAGTGCCCCTAGCTACTACCTCAGGCACCATCCTATGTGATACCTCTAACGGTCTACCCCGACCCATCGTACCCTCTGCTTATCGTCGTCTCGTCTTCGATGCCCTTCATGGTTTGTCTCATCCAGGTATCTCAGCTACATTACGTCTCATCGCTGCACGATACGTCTGGCCTTCCATGAACAAAGATGTCCGTATGTGGGTAAAGCAATGCTTACAATGTCAACGATCAAAAGTGCACAGGCACGTAGCCGCCCCCATCGGCACATTTGCTACGCCTGATGCTCGCTTCGATCACGTTCATATTGACATTGTAGGACCATTACCACCATCGCATGGGTATGATCACATACTCACATGCATTGATCGTTTTACAAGATGGCCCGAAGCTATTCCCATCACTGCTATTACGGCGAAAACAGTTGCTCACCGCTTCGTAGAACGATGGATAGCTCTGTACGGTTGTCCCTCGACTGTCACAACTGACCGAGGACAACAATTCGAGTCCGAACTATTCTCCTTGCTAACTCGGCTGCTTGGTACGGAGTGCATACGCACTACCGCCTACCACCCAGCTTCAAATGGTTTAGTCGAAAGGTTTCATCGCCAACTCAAAAACGCTCTTTGAGCACACGAAAACAACAATTGGTACGAAACCTTACCGCTCGCCCTTCTAGGCATCAGAACGAGCTTAAAGGCAGATATCCAATGTTCCGCCGCTGAATTGGTATACGGCACGACATTGTGTCTGCCTGTGGAATTTTTCACACCACGGAGCAGTGATAACTTCAATAAATCAGACTAAGTCCAACGACTGTCTGCATTTGTGCGAGCACTGCCTCCGGTGTCAACTCGAGTACAACATCGACAGGTTGCTCTCCCGCGAGAGTCATCTACCTGCTCACATGTTTTCATTCGAGTCGATTCGGTACGCAAACCTTTGCCCTTACGAAGGACCTTTTCACGTGATTTCTCGTCACGATTAGACCTTCAAGATTGCTCGACATGGCCGCGTCGACATAGTTAGTATTGATCGTCTCAAGCCAGCACACGTCGATGACAGTGCCCTACTTGCTAATCCGAGACCCAATGCTACACCTAGCGGGATCCTTAAAACTACCCCTGATCCCATGCTAGCGAAATCAGAAACCTCATTCTCACGTCCCAGTCAGCAGCACGCGCTATCTGCACTACCTACGGATGAGACTACGGTCTCACGTCCAAATCAGCAGACCACGCCGCACTTGAATGCAGATGAGAATGCAGGCTCACAAGGTACACACGAGGCTACTGTCTCGCGTTCCGGTCGCCGCGTACGCCTACCTGTACGCTTTCTCGAATAACTGCTAATCCTCCACAGGGGCGGCATAGGATTTTACCATCATACTACACGCATGCTACACTTTTTCTCCTTTTCTTTGATTTTTCTATCCCGAGCCTATACTTCCGACCATTGTCCTGTTGGTACCGTCGACTTCAGTCAACCTTGGCGAAAGCTGGCCTGGTCACCCACGCTCTAGTCACTGCATTCAGTCGATCTTCTGGCTACGAATATATCTGCTACACGAATGGTTTCGCAATGGTCGTTTCTGGCTCTTTTGCTCAATCTGGTTCCGTCCTACGTCTGCAGCTTTATCTGGTCCGGACCCCTACGAACGCAATCATCAGACTCTGGATACGAGCCACGCTGGTGTGGTATGCTAATCCGATGGACGAACTTGGCACGGCAGCGGACAAACTCCCAGTGACAACTCGAGCTTCATCAGCCGACGAGCCCTCTGAACGAAGCCGCTACTTATCGAAAGTGTGAAACCATTTCTAGGGGGGGTGGCTCCTGTAAAGGAAATATTTCGTTGAAAAAACACGATTACTGACGTATAAATACTTATTATTTAACATATGTAACAATAACTGTTTTATTGTACATCTTTTGTTTATCTGTACTGAAAGCCATCATTCGAGCGCCACCCACGCCATCCCTGCGGATCTATCGATCACTTCGTGTTATCATCGATTGTACCGGCTGAACACGTGATATTATTCCAATATCACTCGACTTTCTATCAATAAAAATCGATATCCTTCATACAATCTTCTGTTCTGGAATAAGTGTGGGCGTGTAAAATTCACGACTCAACAGTAGTATGCTTCTAGGGCTGATTTAAGAACAGTGTTGTTCCTCCTGTATACAAATGACTTTTCTAGTCTCTGTAGTTCATCAGTCTCGTGAAATCCTGGCGATTTTAAGATGTCAGTGGCAATTATTATTAAAAAAATGAAGGCGTTAAATAAACTGCCTAAAATGAATTACTTTAGGTCTTCAATTTAACGCTAACCTCGTTATTTTTTCTGAAAGATGAGGGCGCTCAGTCAAGCATCCGCGCCATATAACCGTTGGATACGTTGCGCTACTCATCTTACAAACCAGTTAGAAAGCTTTATCTACTGATTCCTTGAAATCCCGACAATCGTCCGAATTCATCACCGATCCTCTTCGTTTATGAATTCTTATTTGCCCTGGTTTTGGTGTAACAAACGACAAAATCAATAGCTCTTGGCTTTAGAATAACTTACACAAATTGTCTTAATGACCCGAAGTTTGACATTTGCCACAAATTTCATGTAAGCTCATTTTACTACATTTTAGTCACTAAAATACAGATATCTATACAGCGAACAGCTATGGGTTACCTAGAAACTAGGAACCCAACAACCCCAGAGTAGTCATAAGCCAAAGTAGAATCCATTCTCTTCCTTTTTTTCAGTTCCAAGTGTTTGTTGGTTTTGTATGTAGTGTTCGTTCGTGCTAAACCTGAGTATTTCAAACAAGTAATCAGCCCTGACTATCAATGAACGCTATGCTGCTGGACAACGTTCAACGGGCGGAAAATAATTTGATTTCCATTATCGAAAAGCTGTTAATGGTAAGAAACTGGTCGAAATAAACTTATTTCCTCTGTCATATAAAAAAACCAGAGTTGACGTAATAACTGAATCAAAATTACTTAATAATAATCTGAATCTGATACACTGCCAGTTTTACTATCTCCAGAATGGAAAACTTGCGAGGATTTTCCTAAATGTTCGTAAGCCCAAACCAAATAACCAGTCATCTAGCTAACGACTTTCCAATCGAGTCGTCAACAGATGTAACTCGTTAAATCAACACGCTAGCGAAGCTCGATTTGTCAACTAATTCAAAGAAATATGAACAAATAAGAGAATTTGTTTGCTAAGACTAATACAGACAACACAATATTATCGTAGTTTCTTAACTTAGGCTGAAACTGTCTTTTTGTTTATATCGCTTGATTATTAAATTTAGATTTTAGTTCACTTCTCAAACGTGTAACGTGTTCTTGCTGAAATGAAGAAATTTCTGGATTCTACTAATACAAAGCTTAACAGAGCTTTGCAGGTTTGTTTTGGCATTTTATATTAGAAACGTTTTCTAAGAAAACGAATGAAGTCATAGGAAGAGCTGAGAAGACAGAATTTAATGAAGAATTCGTCGTGCTATTAAGGCAAGCTGAATCTACACATGAAGTATCTAAGCAGATTATGGAGGCCATAGAGCAGTGGATCAATCCGTGTGTTTGTAAATCGCATTTTATTTTTAATTGAATCGCTCATTGTTCGTAGTGAAAAAATTTGATGATGTCGGTCAGTTCACTTTGAAATCTTATTTTCATGAAATGATTTTTTAGTTAACTTCAGATAAGTGTGTAATTTTCTAAATATACTTTTAATTACATTCAGTGTGAATAATTACTATCGAATTTGATCACTCAAGTCTTAATATGTCACTTATTCTTAGAAACGGAGATTTCAGTTTATTAACATGCTTTATATTCTGCACATTTCGAAAGTTCAATCAAATTTTTAAGCGCGCATGTAATAAGACAATCTTTTATGTAGAAATTTCAAAGTAGTTTTTAGGGGTTAACAATAATGACACAAAATAACAAAATGACTACGTTATTTTGTTACGAACTGTTATATAAATGTCTAACTTGACCTAGGTTGCAATAATATAAAATAAATAAAAACGATTACATCTGGTACCGGAAGTATCTCAGTTTTGGTTTATGAAGTCAGTCAGTCAGCTACAACGTAGATCTTGGTACGTACGTACATTAGTTCAAGTTCCAATGCCACATTAGCACTGAGAGATGGAAGTGTCAACGGTTTATGCATAACAGATAAAGCTTTAGCGACCGATTAATTAACGTCCTGTTTCAGCTTATTCTTGAAAGATTTATAAGTGAAAGCAGCATTTACTTCTCGGCGAATCTTAAGATCAGTAAAGACTATTGAATTTGCAAAAGACCTATTGAGCTCTGTATGAAAAGATTTACACGAAGTGGAATTTTCGTCACTTCATTTTATTTCCTATACATAACTTGGAGTAATGACAGTTTGAATTCCTAAAGCTTTTTTGGAGTTGGTTTGCTTTTGAATCCTTGTTACAGATCCAAACAAAACGAATATATTGATTATATCAGGAACAATGTTCATCCTAATTTCTCAGCTACGTCAAAGGACTTTAAAATACAGACATTAAAATTAACTATGTTAAATAAAATTATACGAGGTACCAAGATGATTTATATTAGTTCAGTATTAGGCTTCAAAAAAAGATGAAGAAAAGTTTGGCAAACATAAACCTGATTACATTGTGTTAATATTTAAACATCATACATAGACATGATTAGTAGACGCATATTATTCTCTTTCGTTTAGCCTGTAAAGTAGAAAATCTGGTCACAGATAACAAAAGTTATTGGCTAAAAGTTCCAGCAACACTACCTGCTGAGAATCTAGGAGATACATTGATCAATGCTGCTGCCAGTGTCGGAGCTAATACTGCATATGGTAAGTGTGTCATGAAAATAACTTCTAATATTACCCACAACTTTATTAAAACAATTTTGTACAATACAAGTCTCGACATCCTCTCCCTGCATATAGTGAATAATATATAAGCCTCTTAAAAATACGCTCATATTCTAAATTTATGATAAATAAAGTATCATTTACTCCTTTCTAGCTCACCAAATCGTCAAAATTTAGATTCAATAGATGGATAAATTATTTCTTATTTTATTTAAACACATAAACGCTAGTGCAAAGTGGAATCTGAATATTTATGCATCACAAACAAATTAGTAAATTTATGAATTGGCATAGATACTGCCAGAACATCATAACCAAAACAAGTGGTTTTATCAGAGGCTACATACTAACTCTTCGAATCAAAAATTTAGTTTACAAGGCAACAGGTCGGCACTAGGAAATTTATTCCTTAGGTAGCCAGTCACCAACAACAGATTCACATGCAATTTATTCCCTGTGAATCCTGTAGCCCATGTAAACGACTGGTTAAGAACCAGATTTTCTAACTCCTCTAGGTGGATAACCCATACCCACTAACTCGGCTGCGGCGTCGGACACTCGTTCTCTATCCCTTCAACTTTGTAATGGATACTTCTGTTATTATGAGGTACTGAGTAGGACTCCCCTGACCTTGGTTATATAAGCATGAGTGCATTCCAAGAAAGAGTGTACTCTCCTCATTCTCAACCATACCAAGGTATTTAGAGGCAAACAAAAATCGTAATAAATCATGTCATTTTATCGTTATGTAATCTCTCTTAACAAATCAAAATAATGTGCTTAAAATGAATTTCATTACATATTGAAATTTTCATATTATTTGTTTCGGCAAAGTTTGTATAGTAGTAATACTATACTCTCTGTTACAACATGCTCTAAAACATGTTAACTCTGTGTAGTTAATAACTTAAGGAAGTTCTTCCGGAGATTACTTGTTGTTTCAAATGAAGAGAAAAAGTTGTGTAAAATAATAATAAACATCGTTAAACAGGTCATATATATGCGCTGAACTTATCTAAAATGTAAAATCATTTTTTCTAAAACCAGTTGACGATGCATGTTAGTGAATTTATCCTACTTTATTTGTTAAATTAAGGTCATTATCTCATCTTGTCTAGTCTTTTCGACACAAGAATTGACAATAATTCAGTATTGAGAGCGAACTATAAGCGTACTTTAAATGCAGTCAGATAGTCAGTCATAGTGTAGAACGTTGTACGTATGTACAAAAGTTCAGGTTGCCACAGCACACTAGCGTATAGACGCAGTTGTTGGTTCAAATCCAATAGTCGTAGAGATAGTAGAAACATTACTGGTAATCAAGAAGATTAGGGTTGGAAGATATTATTCAAGAAGTATAATTCAGTGAGATATATTTAGAGAGGGAAAGGTAAGGGTGACGAGGAATTCAGAAAATAAGAATTTGACAAAACACGAAGAGTGGATGCACCTGCACCATTTCAAGCGGTACTGAACCTTGTCATTCAAGGTCTCTAACCATCGATTATTATCATCTCGCGGACCACAACCAGGTAGTCGACACCTACCAACATGACTCATTCCACTTGTCAATGACTTCATGGATTTCTGCCATGTTTTGGTTTGGCCGCCCCTAACTTTCTTCCAACTTATTCCTACACTACAAAACAAAGCTCTTCGAGGCAGTCAGTGGTTAGGCATACGCAACACATGTCCCAACCACCTCAACTGATGAAGTTCCAATACTTCATCTATTTATTCGCCATCTCTACCTTGTACTCGTTTCCTAACAACGGCATTGCCTACTCGGTTGTTCCACGATACACGGGCAATGCTTCGAAGACACCTATGATCGAAAAAAAGTAACCTACGAACATCTTCTACTCTCACTGGCCATGTTTGACAAACATAAAGTAGGACGGAACGAACTACCACTTGGTACACTGGTCCTTTAGTCAGCAAACGGATATCACGCCTGCACCATAAGTGACGCAGGTTGACAAAAGCCAATCGAACCCTGTGTATCCATACTGAAATTTTGTCAGTCATCAGGCCATAAGCACTGATGAGACTTCCAAGATAATTGAAGCGGTCGACTTAAAATGAAAGTAAATTTTCAATCTATTATCAGTTAACTGTCAAACTAAGTCAAGAATTATCTTTTACCAAATTTAAAGATTTTGAATAAATAATTTTTATCAATCTATTTGCAACTGTTACAGTTGGATGACCATTAAATTTCTCTTACACAAATAATGTTTTCAAAAATGAATTTAAATTATTGAATTCGAAAAGAAATTATTTATGAACATGGTTATTAATTGTTAAACAGAAGAACGCCATTGAGATTGCACAACAAATAAATATTTTATAAGAGTATATTAGTAAATTTACCGGAAGTAAATTATATACATATTTCATGAGTTTTAGAATAATGATATTCACAGCAGAAAAAAAAATATATTATATTCAAATTATGATCAGCAATTATTTTGTACTATTTATTTCAGACAGAGATATAATAAGCCTAATTATCTAATCAATACACAGTAATCATTTTTACAACAAAGTATTGTTGCTACTATGTGATCCATAATCTACAATGTGAATCATTTTAAAGGAAGTGGCTGTTTAACTGTTAATAGGTTGAATTTTTTTACTCTGAACAGTTTATTTTCAATCGGTGTATTATAAGATTAAACTTTATTCATGTGTATTGCTTAGTTCAATAGCCCCATTTTAATAATTTATAATGATTAGTTAGTTGATAGATAAATGAATGAGTTAAGTATGCATCTGAATAATTAGATTTCATTATAAACTAATCTAAAAACTTTTGTAAGAGAGGAGTTTAAAGAGTTGAGCATAAATATAAGATATTTTCAACACTGAACAATGACTTGACCCCTTAAATCAAGTAACACTATGAACCGGAGAATATTTAACGGTCTCAATTTACTTTACTACAATCTACATGTTTGTTCCTATTCTACTAGACGGAATTCAAAAACTTCCGATCAATGTGCTAACATTCACAAAACAGAGCACTGAATGATCAAAGAAAATATATTCGATTAAGCACTACTAATCATTTAAGCCTTATTTTAATCTACTCAGTGTAATCATAACAGAAAAATACTTCCACATACACCATTACATCATTACATCTGATAACTATTCCGCATTCCATTGTGGTATATGGTACACTATGAAATGTAATAAACTATGTTTCATACTACAAGTACAACTGAACCATTTACATAATATGAAGTTTATTCTAAAGTGTTTAATTTGATTTTATGCAGTTTATCTTTTCACATTTCTGTAACGTTGAAAAAAATGAGAACTTTGTACGTAAGTACATCAGTTCATGTTGCCATACCACATCAGCACAGAGATATAATTGTCGATTCAAATCCAATAGTAGAAGAGGTAGTAAAGGTATTAGAAGTAATTGGAGAGTTTAGGATTACAAGATATTATTCAAGAAATATGATACACTGAGAAAAGTTTAGAAAGTCAAAACTAGAGTTGTTGAAAAACCCAGAAGATTAGGATTTGAGAGAACACAAAGAATAAATGCACCGGTGCCATTGCGAATGACGTCTTATCATTCACGACATTTAAATAAAACATATTACAGGTTCCAAAACTTAAGAAAAACATAACATTCTATTTCTCAAATAAGTAAGATATAGTTTAAAATGTACAAAATGCTTTCTTACTACACTAATTTTTAGAAAAAATCATAAACTTTGTACATTGTTGAAGTAATTCATGTAAAAGTAGAGCTGATGTTCAACAAAAATCACTAAGCGTCTGTCACCAACAGTAACTTGATCTCTAGTTATCGTTTTTTAGAAAACTTGATCCACGACACTATTTATTGTTTATACTATGTTAACACAAAAGCCATTCATATATATATATATATATATATATATATATATATATATATATATACATATATATATATGCATTACGGGGTTGTGAAGATTGTTAAGTTACACATTTTTGAAACCATGAATCGATCAATGTTAGACCACCATTAGAAAACTGGAAGCACTGGGTTCGAATCCTGCGGGGTGCAGGAGTCGTGTGCGCGCACTACTGAGGAGTCCTATACCAGGACGAAACGGCCGTCCAGTGCTTCCAGGTTTCTAATGGTGGTCTAACATTGATCGATTCATGGTTGCAAAAAAATATATATATATATAAAAAAAATATATATACATTGAAAATTCAATGATTTATGATTGCCTTAAGCGTTAAATAGTCATTATAATCTATGAAAAAATTTCTATAGTCTCAGTCACTAAATCCATACTTTTGTCAAAAGCTTTTTTTAAATCTGTTAAGTTACAAAGCGAATACCATATCATGCAAGTTAAAATTAACATGTTAAACTAATAGTCATACGTGACCTGGGCAAAGAATATTCTTTTCAATAAATTCTTATCATATTATACACTAATCATATTAACATCATTTTTAATTTCACAGACAACCTTAACAACTTATACATTATGATTCTTAAAAGATCTAGTCACCTGAAACTTGTCTATTCATTTGGAATCATAATTTGGTTTGTGTTTTTTTTAACAGTAAACTAATAGGAATTTATTGAAAATTATCCTTCCTTCCTTCGTTCACTCACTCACTCAGTCCATTGGTATTATTGTTATCACGATATCATGATAATTTTAAGCAGTTAGTCTTATAATCTTTATTTTTTTTTAAAAAAAAAAACTATATCTGAATCGATTCTATGACCTGAAACTTATTATTTCCTCTTCCCTATTATGTCTCGGTAGATTGTAACGTCGTTGTGTTTCATCTCTATGTCTCTCTATGTCTCTCTCTCATTATCTACCACCTGATTCTATTCATGTTAGAATGTTTCTAATTGATTGCTGCATATTTTGTTCATATCTCTTTTGTATAAATCTAAATTTATCTCTATTCAAAGTTAAAACTATTATATGAGAAACATCTGTTTCGGAATAGTTGCTATATATATGACATAGATCAGAGAATTGGGAACTATCGAGAAACTGAACTAAGCGTCACTTTTGACTCTCTTGTGTTATACAAAAAAAACAAATCAGTCCGTTTTGAATAAGTTGCCAATTATTTAGCCGAAGATTCAAACTTCATTCCTTCTGATTTGGTTGGCCTTGACTATCATGTAGTGTTGCTAGTGCTTCCGCGAGACGAAAGTCACCAATGGTTAGAGACCTTGAATGACATGGCTCAAAATCGTTTGCAATGGCGCGAGTGCATCTATTCATTGTGCTCTCTCAAATCCTAATCTTATGGATTCGTCAACACCTCTACCTTTGTCTTTCTAACCTTATTTCACTGAATTATACTTTCTTGAATAATATTTTCAAACCCTAGTGTTCTTCATTACCATTAATACCTCTACTATCTTTATCACTATGGGATTTGATTTGACATTTGCGTCTCTGCGCTAATGTGGTATGGCAACATGAACTTATGTACATACGTACGATGTTCTACGTTGCATCTGACTGACTATTGCTAGTGCTCATGTAAAATGTACAACTCAAAACTGAAAACATGAAATCGATTAATGATTTGCGTTAAATGAAATTTCTTCTACTCACCTTAAATAATCTACTCATTAACTATTAAGTTTCATTTTATTCATCAACCTAAACTTCATAGATTAGCCGAAATGAATCAATATACATCTTAAAACAAATTAAAACTACATACATAGTAAAACAATGTGTACTTTAAAATCTCATCTAATTCTGTATGTTTGTTTCATTATTGCTTATACGAAAAAATATCTGAAATAAGTTTAAATTTCTTTTGAATTTTAAAGAATAATGTAAATTACTGATCTTGCTTAGATATCTAAAAACAGATGCTTGAGAACAAAGTATATGATTTTGGGATTTTAACATGCCGTTTGTTTTTTTTTTGTAAACCGGAAGTCATTACAAAATTAATTATTTGTTCATAGAATCATTAATACTAACAATTACTGACTCAACAGGCTACTAATTTCTTCCTTTATGTTCCTTTTATGTCTTATCAACTAAATATCGGCATTTTAATGCTTACTACTATTAATGTGTATGTAACTCCTCATCATTTAAGTATGTCTCGTGTGTCGAATTCAAAGTAGAACTCAACCATTATTTTGGGGCCCGATATTTGATTCCATTTGATCAAACCACGTTTACGTGACGCCTGTGGTAATAAGAAGCTGAATACGGTTTTGTGAATGAATTTTTTTTTCTTGCGTTCATTGAAACAGACAGATGACATGAGAATGAAAAGCGTACAAACAAAACAAAGCGAAGCGAATGAGAGAAGGTGAATGAGCCAGCTCTCATGAACTGAAACAATGAATAAATATTTACAGTCAGAAAATAATAGGTTAGACATGTAATAAGCGAGTAAGCATGCACACGCACAATCAAATACGCAATAATCGATACTTTTATCGAATTAATGCATACTACGATTAATGTATTACTAACAGTTGGCGATTTCAGATCAACAATAACCATATCATTGTTTTCTCGTCCGTTATGCTAGTAAATTTCCACTGATTACATCCCTGACCGGTGAAATAAGTTAATGTACATCATAATGTATCTTATCTCTTACATTAGTTGAACGAATGATTAAAAATGAAGTATTTTATAACATAATTTATGCTTCTGTAGAAATCCCTGGAGGTTTTTATAGTTTCATCCTTAATTTGATTGATGAGATAAATAAAACAATGCGATTTTTATTTATCCTGTAAAATACGTTTCAAATCTGTTTTTTTTTTATGTTTATGCTCCAAGCTTTAAATCATTCATTTTGTCAGTGAAGCGGAATTCCAGTGGAGCTTAATTTGAAACTTTGAAACACTGGTTGAAAAATTAAATATCTTAACTATTAAATCATTAGTTTAATAATTCTCACCCCGTGTACATTCGATGGTCGAATGTAAACGATGAAAATAGAAAACTACGCCTGGAGCCGCCCCTCTGAGGTTACTTCTGGTCCTAAGCCCGGACAAAAGGCGAGGATTGGGTATGGGGCTAGTGAAGTCATTCCAGCTCGCTAAAAAAATGCTAACCAGAAAAAAATAATTCACTAATCGACGACCTATACTTCATTGGGGGTAACAGGCGAAAGTAAATAAAGTGAAAACAGAAACGTAGACTTACAATAATTGTTTGATCATTTAAATCTTATACAATCATATAGCCTGGGGAGGTTACAAAATTTGATTGCTTCGAAACGAATACTGTAATACTAAACAGTTTTGACAGTATACTTATTGATCGTTCAAGTGCCGAGAACATCACTAATCCTGTAACAATCTGCTAACCTGTTTGTATTCATTATTCGTTTTGACTTAATTTGTAATTATACTTGTTGACTATCCAACTCGAGGCTAAAGCAAATTTATGACACTGCTCGTTATTTAGTCGTTATGATCAGTGTAATTCATTACCACTTAGTTGTTCTTCTTTCCAATGTTAACTATAGAAGATTAGTATTACTCCCTTGTTTGACAAGACTAGAGATTGAATGATTCAATGCAAGTCAAACATTTTCTAAATTAGTTCCAAAATACAAACTTGTAACAATCTTTTGTTATTTTCTATTTTGTTATATTCAATCCCTGTGCGTTCAATGAACTTTTTTTGGCTGAAAATAGAAGTCCTCTCTCTTTTGGTTGTATGTACTGTTAACTTTAAATTCTTCTTTTTTTTTGCTGCTGATAATAAATACATTCTTTCAGTCAGCTGATGTAGCAAACGGTTTATGGATTACAACAAATTTTTAAAAAATAATAATAAACAACTTTATTCACCAAACAATTTTCAAACATCTATATGTATATATAAATGGAAGTTGAAAAATAAATCTTGAATTAAACTTATTTTATCTTTAATAAAAAATATAAATTAGTCAATTACAGTTTTGTTTATATAAACCTGCCATTTGAGATCATCTGTTTTTGTTGCCACTGAATTCCTAACCTATTTGAGAAAAATGACATGAATCGAATCGGGTGAAATTTTATGATAAGAATTAAACTGAAATACTACTGTAGTGAAGGAGAACACAGGTGGGGCAACCAAATTGTATTTAATGAAAATTACAGAGTTGCTTAGTATAATCGGAGGAAAACAATATCGTAAATTGTTCATTTGCAAAATATCAGTTCATCATATCGAACTGGACTGTTCCTGTTGCAAAACATCAACAATCCATTGTCACTATTCATGCGTTTCATACACAAATTCCATTGTGTCCTAACTCTTCCTTTTGTTGATCTTCCCCCATATTATGCTGCCGGACATTACCTTGACACTCACGTCATACACTACTACTTATAAGTAGCTCGCACCACAGCACCACACTACTACGGATATTGATTTGATCCCACGACTCACTCAACTTATGTAAACTTATGTTATCCATCAGTTGTGATGTTGATGTATGGAATTTTTCAAACTTTACCGGTTATACATTTTTATCACGTAATTTGTTTTAATGTTCAATCATATTGTATACACTGAAGTTTTATGCTAATTCTGTCTTCGAAAAATATACATTTTGTGTTTAGATATATGCCTAGCTCTGTGTATAAGTTTTCTTACTTAATACTGTCAATCCCAGTTGTTATGCTTCATTCATTTTTTAATCTTATTTCTTTATTGTAATCTGTCTTCTATATCTAAATTGAAATCAACTCTTCTCTTGTTGTGTGGATATAAGATATAATCAACTACTTGAACTGATTTTCAGTCACCTTAATCTTCAGATCACCGATTAATTGATTGGTATAACAGTTTATACAAATTTGTTGTAACTATACAAATATAATCGACTGGACTTGGAATAATTTGTATTATTTAATAACTAGATATTTTAAATGCTGATCATTAACACCGTATCGAACTGGAAGGCTAATCAATAATTTGATTTATATATATATAAGTTCAACTATGATTTAACTAACACTTATAACTCAACGATTAAGTCATGTGTTTTGTTAGTCCCTCAAAGATTTATGTATGTCAATCAAGAATATTTGTTTGTTTGTGGTTTACCATGAATAGCAGCTATAGGTGAGTCCTTGAATGTTTTTAGCCTAAGTTAACGGAATTCTCAACCTATATACGATATGATTGGACTTAAGTAACCGACATCACGATTTGATAACAACGTTTTCAGCTAGTTTCATTATTCTTGTCTTAAACTTCAGATTACTGTCATTGAAGGGTAGGTAGGTACCTTGTAGTACTACTTATCGCTAATTTCATAAACACATTTCGATTTTATTTTACCATTTTTATACACTGTGTTACATATTGCCGAGATTTTCTCACGTTGACACGATTCATGTGAAATGTAAAGTAGAAGTTTATGTACTAAGTCTTGAGATAAACAGTTTGTAAGAGTAGTGGTGCGGATACTACTTGTTTTTTTCAAATATAAGTAATTAAATCAGGTTAAAACTAACTAATTAAAACTTGAATGATTTCACTATTAAATCATATTTCAATTAGACTAAGTGCTTATTATATCATATACGTATGGTATAAAATTAAATATTTAGCTGGATAAATTTTATTTGAAGATTGAATTCAACAACTTGCTCATCAATTTACCCAAATACAACCAAAGAATCCTTTTCTTAACATATTTGATTGATATCTCACAAAAAAAAAAACAATCACTACTACTAATCAGTAATTAACTTATTAAGTGCATGTTCGTTCGTTCATTCATTTTTAGGAGCAGCATTATCATTATGCGGTGAGTATAGTCGTCAAATAGCTGGATATGAAAATCGACGAAATGCAATATTAGAAAAGAATACTTTACGTGTACTACATCGTTTTTTAGCTATTGAATGGCCTGAAATACAAGTAAGTTTCATGTTCAGTTTGCTTTCATGATTTCTTTTTTTGCTATGAAAGGTAAAGTTTTAAAATCATAGAATTTTTTCAGTAGTTAACTTCCTCCTATTTGTTTTACCTACCTATCTATTGAAACAATCTAGATATATGCTTTGAAAAATTCTCCAGAAATAATCCTATTTCAATGAGTAGTTGCCTTGTTGAATTGTTTTTATTCACTAAATACACAAATGACCATAAGTTTCTTTCCCTAGTTATTGACATAAATGAGGAAATTTAATTTTTGTTTACCAAATGAAGTAGTATACTTTGTTCAATGATTTTCTAATATGTCAATAATTTTAAATCTATTTACCATCTGACTACATACAATGGTTACTATTATTATTGTTATTATCGGTATTAATTTTGGACTGTGATTTACGTCTTTGACCTCGAGAAACACATGATTTATTGATTTGTGGTGTCTTCCTTGTATTGTTGCTCTTAATATATGTTCTCTTTTTTGTGTGAATTATTAACCAGATTAAAAGAAAACTAACCAAAGTGAAAATAAACTTTGGCATAAATTGTATGACCACCATATTTGATAACTAAGTGAGGACTCTGTAAACCGTAAAACTCCTCATTATATTATAAAACATAATCGATAGACCCTGCAACTGAAATCCCTAGAACTATGGTATAGTCCAACTGTAGACTTTTATAGGTTTAAGTCATTTTCAATCATAACAGTGAATGATTATAGGCTAAGATTGTAGCCCAGAGCTTCAGTTTTCCTAATCTGTGTTCTGCTTTGAATTATACACTGTATGACAAATAGTGGTTTATCTTGGCTGTCCAATTAGTCAAAACCTAGTTACACGAATCTCATCCCAGTACTTTAAAGTAGAGTTCTTAAAACAGTATCACAATAATAAGCATGAATTCTATACTCTCTTTTCAACTAATTTGAAGTAGTATTACAAAAGTGGGCACATCCCTTATGGATCTTGAAATAGACATAATTTACTCAAATGATTATCAGTTGTTATGTTTGCACATCAATGTAGGGGTTGACTGAAGTAGTTTTTTCGTTGTCAACTGATTCTATGCTCATTCGAGATTTTCAGTATTGTAGTAGGTTTTATTCCCACTCGTCGGAATTTATGGACTATAGCTTACTAATGAAACGTGCATTGATCGATTTTTCGGAGATGCTGTAAAAATCAATAGTAGTAGTAGCTTTCTTAGCAAGCTTACTAAGAGTTTTGATTAAGCAGACGTTGAAATCTAACTAGACCATAGTGAGTCCTAATAAAATCCAATCATCAAATTTACCCACACTGTTTGATGTAACTATTTTATGCCAAGACATAACGTGTTATACAATCAAACGTCCATCAGCCAAATTATTATCAACTTTCTCTCCATGTGTTTGTTAGAAAATTCACTCACTAACTTTATTTCTTCACTGAGTTGCTCCATTGTTTACAATTTAAAATAACCAACTGTAGGCTACCTGGCTTTGCAATGTCTTACTTTTCAAACTGATAATATAATTCTCATTTACAACGTTATTTATTGTATACTATACTTAACTGTTGAGGTGTTTTCATTTCCATTGAGGCGATTAGCACTTCATTAAAGATTAATTTTCACTTTATTAAAAAAACCTATCTGTTTGATTTTTATTCCTTATAATTTTCACTTAATCCTGATTTATGACATTGTAGTCAAGTAGTATAGAATATTTTACATGGGGTCTAATACGTATTGGTACAAATCAATAAAGTCATATTAAATCGTTCTCACGTTTTAAAAAAAAATTAAACTTGTTTTGTAGTACTATCGTACTAAATAATATAGGCTTTGTTTGTACTTTTAAATATGTATGTCAAGTATACATTCATGCAACCGGTTTCGAGTTAAACTTAAGTTTTGCAAGGACCCTAATTGAAGTAGATCATGTGGTGTTTAATCCTGTAGTTCACTGATTGAAAATTGATTGCTTTAATCATTGAGCAAGTACTCCATAAAATTAATACAGTAATCATTATATATAATCGAATTCCTTGTAATACCTATCTAAAGACCATATGAGTTGAACAAAATTAGTAGCTATCTGGACTCAGTGTATAACAGGTTAGTATTTCAAGAGAAAGGTAACGGATGTAGTCTGTGTACAACTATGTTGGATCCACAGAACGTGTCCTAATTTTTGGACAACAAGCCCGAGTCATTATTCACTCATCTTGTGATGTTATCAATTACTCGCTTATATTTTGGTTGTTTCTATTTGAGTGCATGTGTGCATTGATTAGTTTGCTTATTACATGTCTAATCTATTATTGCCTGACTATAAATACTTAGTCATGCATGCTTCACCGCATGGAGTTAGCTTGCTCACCTTCTCAACTTCGCTTCTTTTCACTTTAATGCTTTGCATCCTTATATCTATCTGTGTGAACGATTACATAAAATGAATTCATCCACAGGAGTCATGCAAATGGGGTCCGTCTAAGTATATAATATACGAAAATGGAAAGAATGAAGGAAGGAGTCAGATCGCTTGCCATTACATGGAGTCGACAATAATACTGTGAACATTAATACTGAGATATTAATTCACCAAAATAAACAAAGCGCAAATCAATAACTCTATTACTAACCACAATCCATGTATTTTTTCAAAAAAATTGTAATCATATAGGTATATCGATATAATCTACCCAGGATACACATATATTCCAACAAGCACTAATCAAAATTCAATAAGCAATGTCAATAAAGGGGTATTACAAACTATATTAATAATGAAATTTAAGAAAAAGCATCCGTATGAATTAGTTCGCCTCGAAATTTCCTTCTTCTTCCTCTGAATCTTGTATCGAATACTGTTACATTGATTTGAAGTAATTTTATGATGAGTATTGATAAGCATTTTGCTGTGCTTTATTTAATTTTCGGGCAGAGTTTTTGGAGGTTTGTGTTTTTGACACATTTGAAATCATTAATCAATCAATCATTGTTACTAGATCACCATTAGAAACTTGGAAGCACTTTAATTACCGTTTACTTTTGCTCAGTTTCATTTTAATCATAAATACAAAATGAAATCATATTAAAAAAATATTGAATAGAAAATTGTTAAAAATAATAATAATGATACAAACAGTTAAATGACTGTCAACCCGAAGAAAGATTGAATGATTAAAAAACTCTATTTGATAAAATGCATGTTTTTTCTTATTTAGTCAGTCAAGTTTTTTATCATCAATTCAAGCAGATGTTTGTGTTCTTGTGAGAAAAAGTGGCAGCTTTGACCTATATAGGACATATTTTTACAACATATTTGAATCAAACGTGTAAATTAAAAATGACGTGTAGAGTTATTTGAACTTATATTCTAAACGTAACTGTTATGCCCATCAATCGATATGCTTGAAAATATCAAGGGTTCACCTTAGTCGGTAAACGAGAGCAAAGACAAATGATCCAGTGACATGAAAGGTTTCTCTAATCCAAGCTTCCCAAGGTACCACTAAGTAGAGCAAGAAGTCTTGACAAGACCCAGAAAATATGAGGTTTTCAAGTACATAAATGGAGTTTATTTCTACATCATAGAGACGTCCTTAGGAAAGCCACAAAAATAGCGTACTAAAATAATACATCAACCAATAACAGTCAAGGATTTTCCGGGTTGAGCATGTAATCTCAAGGTCAATTGATCAACTCATTCTCGAAAACATAAAATCCAAAATTAGGACGTTTACCACTTGACCTTGTGAGAGGTAGTAACATTTTGAACTACAGTTTGGTGGTTAGACTACCTAACTAGATACCTTATAGATGGTTTGTATCACAGACTTTAATCCACATTTTTCGATAATGATTTTTGAAACCATGAATCTACCAAAGTTAGACCACCATTAGAAATCTGGAAGGACTGGACGGCCGTTTCGTCCTGGTATGGGACTACTCATCAGCATTGCGCATCTACGACTCCTGCACCTCGCACGATTCGAAGCCAGGACCTTCGGTCTTACATGCGAACTGGTAACCTTTGGACCACTGAGCTGGTATCTAACGCTGTTAATGTCTAGCTTGAACCTCAAACACTGTCTTCTTCTATAGTTACTGTCTACCCGCCGAACAGGTTGAACTTCACTGGCCACGTCTTCTTCCCCCTAGAACTCAGAAAAGATTCCTCACACAGCTAGTCACTAGTAAGCACAAGTAACTGAATTATAGGGTTGTGAAAAATTGTTAAGTTACACATTTTTGAAAAAAAAAACATGAATCGATCAAAATCTCTTAGTTGAATTTTTTTTTTCTCTTATAGAAAGAACTCAGTCATTTGGAATCATATCGTTTAGATTATGATAAATTAAGAAGTAAAGTAAAACATAATGAAAATCCAGATCATGAAGTAAGTTGTTGTTTTTTTTTTTATTCTAAAACGACATGTGGTGATTTCCTCTTTTTTCTCTTCCTATATATCAAAAGAATGCGACTGATTAACATTAATGCTAGCTAGTTAGTGATCATGTATTGTTTGTTGACAAAGCATGGTTATTTTATTTTATTTTTATAAAATAAAAATGAGTCGAGTACATTTAGAAATAATTTCAAAAAATGAAAATGTAAAAAAATTGGTTTGTGCGTTATTTTTTTTGAAAGAAAAAAAAAATAAAGAATATGAATTTATTTTTTTGTCAAAAGATATAAGTTAAGTTGTCTGATACAATGAATTGATATTATACTCAATCTAATTTATTAACCTTAATTTATTGATTATCTGGTAAAAATGTATGCAGTGTATATATTATTTGCAAAAGTTTAATGCACTCTCCGATAATGATTACATAGATTTACTGCGTAAATAGCATTGTAGAACTTCGTACGTACGTACATACGCACATCAGTTCATGTTGCCATACCACATATTATCACACAGAGATAGATGTCATTGTCTACGTCAAATCCCATAATAGTAGTAGTAGTAGAGATAGTAAATGTATTCGAATGCTTCACTTCCTCCGCTATCTGAAGTTTATGCTGATGATGTTGTAGTTCAGAAGAAGAACGATGAAAGCTCCATTAACCAGAAAACATCCAGCTCAGAGAATCAAACACTACCACAAAGGTATATTAGCAGTAGTCAGAGAGGTTGCGATTAGAAGATATTATTCAAGAAGTAGCATCTAGTGAAATAGAATTAAAAACATAAAGATAAAGTGATGAAGAATTGAAAAGTTTAGGATTTCAGAGAACACAAAGAAGATGAATGAATTCAAATAATGGAACTTAATTTTTCATGATTTCTTTTACACATAAATAGATTGATAATATATTGATAAAATCGGTCAATTTGTTTTATTTTTTTACAAATGGTTTTAACTTTTTTTGAAACCATGAATCGATCAATGTTAGACCACCATTAGAAACCTGGAAGCACTGGACGGCCGTTTCGTCCTGGTATGGGACTCATCAGCAGTGCGCATCCGCGACTCCTGCACCCCGTAGGATTCGAACCCAGGACCTTCAGTATTGTGCGCGAACGCCCTAACCGTTGAACCACTGAGCCGGTTTCTAACGGTGTTAATGTCTAACTTGATCAAATTCACGGAGTTGCGCAACCTCATACACAGTGTTCGGTAGTAATTACTGTCTACACCCGAACAGGTTGAACTTCACTGGTCACGTCTTCCCACTAGAACTCGGAGAAGATTCCTCACGAAGCTAGTCACTAGTGAGCACAGGTAATTTTCATTACAGGGGTTGTGAAGATTGTTAAGTTACACATTTTTGAAACCATGATCTAACATTGATCGATTCATGGTTTCAAAAATGTGTAACTTACCAATCTTCACAACCCCTGTAATGAAAATGGTTTTAAATCACTATAGTAAAAAATATCAATACGCAACTACTTATTTCTTGTTTATTCAAGTTTGATCATTGGTATGAAATGAATGTTCATTGATCAATATTAGCGTAGTTTGTTAGTTTGTGTCGGTGTGTAGATATGTGCCTGTAAGAAAGTGCGCATTAAAGTACAGATTAGCTTTTGTTTTATGCAGCAAATCGATGTCGTCGTCATGTTAGATAAAAGTGATAGTGACTAAAAACTGGTAGGTTTTTAATTAAATAAATGAAAGTGTTCTGTCAAGTTTGTACGTGTTTATCACAATGTACTCCTGTTTTTTTATACTATTTATAGTAAGTCAGAAGCAAAATCTATGAATTTTATCTTAATTTATACCAGTTTAGTTATAAAAGCGTTAAAAAAAAAGTAGGTATAGAGTTAGTAATATTCCTTCTATTTGGTTTAGATGGTCCAATGATGTTACAAACATAACTTAATTACTAACTACAGATCTTTGTACTGTTATCCATATTTTAAATAGCAGAGCTAGAGATAATATATCACTTGTCAAACCAAAGATATGTAGTATCGGGTTTAAACTTACCAACTAATAGTTACAGAAAGTTGCCCTTCGTGAGAGTGAACCATATTTCAACAGCAGTACTACTACTTACTTACTCCTGTTACCCCCTATAGAGCTAAGGCAACCAACCAGCATTCTCCAACCTACTCCGCCCTGGGCTTCCTTTTCTAGTTCTGTCCAATTTTTGCTCATTCTACTCATGTGTTTCTCCATTCTCCGGTGTATTGTGTTTTTAATTCTTCTTATTTTCTTTTGGCCCTGAGAAATCCAAGTGAGGACTTGTCTTGTGAGGTAGTTGGGTACTTCCCGCAATGTGTGCCCTATTCATTTCCACCGCTTCTTCCTGATTCCCTCGTCCTCTGGAATCTAGTTTGTTCTTTCCCACATCGTTAGGTTGTTGTTGCTGATTGTGTCTGGCCAACGAATCTGAAGTATTTTGCGTTGACAACTGAGAGAAAAAAAATTAAAATCAGTAATACTGTGGTGAAAGGAGAATACAGGTGGGGCAACCTGATTGTATTTAACGAAAATTAAAGAGTTACTCAGTAAAATAGGAAAACCATATCGTAAATCGTTCATTTGCAAAATATCAGTTCATCATATTATCGAACTGGACTGTTCCTGTTGCAAAACATCAACAATCCATTGTCACTACCATTCGTGCGTTTCATACAAATTCCATTGTTTTCCCACTCTTCCTTTCTTGATCTTTCCCCATCTTTCACTGCCAGACATTACGTTGACACTCACGTCATATACTACTTATAAGTAGCTCGCACCACAATACTACTAGCTCTCATATAAACGGTGTAATTCAAAGCAAAGTATACAAATCTGTATATATCCATTAGACTGTATTTTCAAAAATCTATCTGTCCAACGACGGATCCAAATGTTTTCTTTTTAAAGTCGGTTAGTGAAAATTCATGTGTTTATCCTTATAAATGTATTAAACCGTTTAGATCTAATTTTTCAAAAAAACAAAAACACAAAATAATATTCTTGTCGTGATTTTTACACACTTCACTAGTAGTTTGTTTAGTCGAATAGAAAAAAATCAACCAGTACTACTATCATAACTATCACATGTAATTGCTTCACCTTAAAAATTAATCAATAAATTCGTTTTCATATTATGTATGACGCGTATTGATTCAATTTTGCTCTCTGGTAACAACAAGTCTATCTATGTATGTGTGCATGTTTAACTTTCATTATGTGGGGAAAAAAATGTTTAAAAATTCCTGGAAAGAAGAAAAAAAAAAGTAATAATCTTTTAGAATTATTGTTGTGTAGGATTTTTGTTAAATCTTTCTAAATATTAGCGTTGGTTCAAAACATTACAAAATTAGTTCAAGAGTTATCTTTTAAGGGTTGTATGGATAGCTTTAACAAACAGCTTGATCAATCTACAAGTTTTATGTTAATTTGAAGTAACAGATTTAATGATTTTCATGTTGCACTAAATTTTGTTTATCGATTTAACCTGGTTTTATTGTCTCAGTAATCGTTATTGATAAAAATCTATTTATACTACTTATTTAGACCATGAGTAGCACAAAATATATAACATATTTTTTTCTTATTCACCAACATACATTGGTTATTCATCGAACTGATTGTAATTCTTTTCTCTTGTAAATCAAGATGTAGAATGTTCATTGTACAGTTTAAAAAAAACATACTAAAGAAATATTTATCTTACTTTCATACGGATGAAATATTCAGTGAATTTGGTGTTCATACTTACTTACCTCTTATCTTATCGAATAATAAGTAATGTTTCTAATGATTAGCTAGCTATAGCAAATAACTGATCTTTATGATGACAGAGTAATGTTGAAATACATTTCAATCCAGCCTGCACATCTTTAACCCTCACTCAGAATGAATGAAGATTAATCATTATCAGTAGCTGTAGTGTTACGCATTTCAATAATGTTTTGATTAGTGGCTCAAATAGTTTACTTATACATTAGAGTTAATGAAAATGACTTTCAGTAAAATAATCAATGGTCTTTAGATTTCTTTTAAATAACATAATCAGTATTTGAATATTATGTACAAACAATGATAGTGTCTAGCAGTGGAATATTGAACTCATGTTTCATTCTATTCGTGAATTAACTGCAATAATGATGTAGTCCTCACAGGATAAACATATACCGAATGAAGCTGATCAATTGCAGTCCTAAGTACCATTGAAAAGATTTAATCAACCAATACAAATAAATGAAGTACTTACTTACACTGCCGATCAGCATTCTTCAACCTACTCTGTCCTAGGTCTTCCTTTCTATTTCTATCCAAATAGTTTTCCTTCTTCTCATGCCTGTCTCCATTTCTTCAGTCAGTCAGTCAGTCAGATGCAACGTAGAACTTCGTACGTAAGTACATCAGTTCATGTTGCCATACCACATTAGCACAGAGATGTAATCGTCAATTCAAATCCAATAGTAGAAGGGTTAGTAAGGGTATTAGAAGTAATCGGAGAGATTAGGATGAGAAGATACTATTCAAGAAGTATGATTCAGTGAGAAAAGTTTAGAGAGTCAAAACTAGAGGTGTTGAATAATCCAGAAGGTTAGGATTTGAGAGAACACAGAGAATAAATGCACTGGCGCCATTGCAAACGATTTTGAGCCATGTCATTCAAGGTCTCTAACCATCGATTATTATCATCTCGTGGACCCCAACCAGGTAGACCGACATGGCTAAGTCCACTTGTCAATGACTTCATGCATTTCTGCCATGTTTCGGTTTGGCCGCCCCTAACTTTCTTCCAACCTATTCCTACACTACAAAACAAAGCTCGACGAGGCAGTCAGTGGTTAGGCATACGCAACACATGTCCCAACCACCTCAACTGATGAAGTTTCACCACTTCATCGGTTGATCTGCCATTCTTACCTAGCACCCATTTCCTAGAAACAGCGTTGCTCACTCGGGTGTCCCACGATATACGAGCAATGCTTCGAAGACACCTATGATCGAAAACCAATAACCGACGAGTATCTTCTACTCTCATTGGCCATGTTTCACAGCCATAAAGTCCATCTCTTAGTGTAACATGTTTTTTGGTCTTGAATGAGTGAAGTAAGATAGTATGTATTTTTAAAGAACAAAGATTAACTAATTTTGTACCATGAACAAAACTGTCTCTCAAGTCCTCAACCATGTTTCATATCACAATGGTATTTATTCATGTAAAATCAATTGTTATTTTATTTTATTCTAACAGACTTTATCAAAAATGGAAGATGCTAAAACTATTCTCTATAAACAATTGGATAAAACTAAATCTATGCTAGAACATGTTAAATCAGTGAATGTAAGTTAAAAAAAAATCACCTTCATTTTTTTTTCTGATTATTAATTAGTCGTCTTTAATAATAATAATAATCATATCAAAGATTACCACATTGTCAAAAATTAGAACAACACAAATTTATAAGTGAACAATATGATTGTTTTCGATTAGCTCGTCATCAGGCTGCTTTACTCTTTGATATACATGAATATTTATATATGAAAATGTTAAACCTACTAGTCAAGGCAATTTATGAGTCAATAATCACAATGAAATGAAATAGAGATTACGTCACTACACATAATAATAGGCCAAAGTACAAGTGACATGTATTACGTATGCCTTACCATCGAATGCCTCGTCGAGCTATGTTTTACAATATAATAATGGCTTGGGTGAAAGCTAGCGGTGGCCAGATCAAAACATGGCACAAATTCATGAAGTCACTAACAAATAGACTGAATCATGTCGGTAGGTGACGAGATGATAATAATCGATGCTTAGAAATCCTGAATGACATAGCTCAAAATCATTGGCAATTGTGCAGGTGCATTTACTCTTTGTGTTCCATGAAATTCTAACCTTCTGATTTCCTCATCACCTCTATCTCTCTCTTTCTAAATTTACCTCACTGAATTATACTATCAGTACTCACCTGTCTTCCTACTGTTATCAACTTGGTCTTTTGCCTATTATATGCAGTGACGTAATCTTTTTCATTTCATTGTGATTATTGACTCAAATTTGCCTTGATTGGTTTAACATTTTCATATCAATATTCATGTATATTAGAGTAAAGCCTGATGACGAGCTAATCGAAAACAATAATATTGTTCGCATATATCGGTTTTGTTCTAATAATTATGTCAACAAATCCTGGTATGGGACTCGTCAACAGTGCACATCCACAACTCCTGCGCGTCGCAGGATTCGAACCCGGGTGGCCTAGGTCTTGCGCGCGAACGCCTAACCTCTGGACCACCGCATCCGTATCCACCGGTGTTAATGTCTAACTCTAATCAATCTAAAGATTTTGTGCGACCTCACCCATTTATCTTTGGTAGTTACTGTCAACACACGACAAGGATGAACTCCATTGGTCACATCTTCTCAACTAGAACTCCGGGAATTCTCTCACGAATCTAGTCATATTGTTAGTCGATTCCAGTGTAGATTGTGACTACATAATATGAAGTATGAATTTTCACAAAACATGTGAACTTTATGTTATTTATGTGTAATCAGTACGTTGTAATAAGAAGAAATACTCATGGTATTAAAATCATTCAATCATGTATAATCTACCAGTCTATTAACAATCAAAAAGTCGAGTATATAGTTTTATTCGAAGCAACTACTTTTGCACATACATATTTCAAACCATTGTGTTTTTTCAGAGTTAATTATAAACTACAACACTTATTTTACTTGAACAAATACTGATTTCTTTGTTTTATGAACCTGATAGTATAAGTGTAATGAAGGAGAACACAGGTGGGGCGACCGAATTGTATTTAACGAAAATTACAGAGTTACTCAGTAAAATCGGAAAACCATATCGTTAATCGTTAATTTGCAAATTATCAATCCATCATATTGAACTGGACTGTTCCTGTTGCAAACAACATCAATCCATTGTCACTATTCATGCGTTTCATACAAATTCCATTGTGTTCTTCTAACTCTTCCTTTCTTGATCTTCCCCCCATCTTCTGCTGCCAGACATTACGTTGACACTCACGTCATACACTACTACTTATAAGTAGTTCGCACCACATGAGCAGAGTGATTTATGTTTAAAAAAAGTGCATTATATCTAGAAAATCCCAGTAAAAGTCATTTCGAACAAATCAGTTTTCTAGTAATCATCATTTGAAATTTTTAAGGCACTATTGAATGACAAGTCTTGTAAATTATGTCTTGAATAGCACAAAAAAATCGATAAATTCCCTTGAATGTTAAGCAGATGATGCTGAAATTTCTAAGGTTTCGATCGAAAATCACAATGGATTTCAAAATCACAAGAATTCAGTGAAATAAATATAACATTACTACTACCCTACATTCTAACAGTCCTAACAATTTTCTAAAACATGTATGCTATTCATATCCATAGTTCATGACTTTTTTTTTAGTAAATATATCCCAATTACAAATAATTTAGTTTTTTATCCTTGATTTCGAATGAGCTGTGGTATGTTTCTTTTTTCCGCTTGTTTTTTTCGACAGGACTCGAATATGGTTGCCCTAAAAGAATTAGTAGCAGCTCAAAGAACTTATTTTAGTGAATGTAGACAGAGGACAGAAGAATTAGCTGCTCAAATTGAACGATTACATTAAATATGTATGAATGAGAAACACACCAATTCCAGAACGTTCCAATGTGTCTTCCTAGCAACATTCATTCATTCATTCATTCTGTCTAACAGTTATGGCTATAGAACTATTCTATTGGAGTTGCAATAATAATACTGATAATAATAATAATATTTCAACCCTTACGCTCTTCGAAATTCTACATGCTTCCAACAACAGATTTAAACTTCCCTCTTTGTTTTTCGTTTCCCGTTATCTCAACTTACTGTTCAATGTATTTTTTCTATATAAACATATATATTCATATCTAATATGATATCGGGCTTTACAAATAATACTATTCATAAAGTATTACTGAAATGAATCAAAAATTCACTTATCATCAGCTTTCATTTTATTTTATTCTGTTTTTTCGTTTGTCCAAATATCTATTATTATTATTATTATTATTATTACAAATGAATGCTTTACAATGTATGTTTTAATTTTCTTAATTATCTGGTATTTAATTTTCATACATTTTTTTTTTCATTTGCCCTTTTTTCATTGAAATAATTTTGGTGTATTTTCGGTGAATGAAATAATGATTTTTTTTTCTGTTATACATACGTGTATGTGTATGTGTTTGAGTGAGTGAGTGTCTTTTGCATTAAAACTCATGGGTTTTTTGATGAAAGTTTATTTAGTTGTCATTTGAATACAACAAAGAATAACCAATCAGAAATGCTAAAATTGATATGAATTAATATTTTTTATCAGTCATATTAATGCAGAACATAATTATGATAGATGAAATGAGTAGAATTTATTTATGATCATTTCACTTCTCAACTTTGATGAATCAATTGTCGAAATATTATTGTTTTTTAAGTGAGGGAAAAAAATGACTAAACGCTTAAGCAACAATGATAGATGATGAGTTAAAATTCATCTGATTGCAAAAGTCAATAACCAACCATCTGAACTCAGCAACTAGTAGGACAAAGTAGGGGGTGGCTAAAGAGCACGGTACTGGGTTCGAGTCCAGAAGTGAATATCTAGTCTGACATGATGGTACATTGTAAATAGAGTCTTGGATTCCACTGTTAGCCACTAATCGTCTTCTCACTGTTCTATCAAAATTTATAAAAGGGACTGGTTGTTTTATATAATTTATTTATTTTCCCATCGAATGGTGTGCTTACGTAATCTAAAAAACTTGAAGTTTATTCAGATAAAAAATAACCATAATTTCAGTAACGAATTGATCTTAAGTAGGCTACCATTGATAACTTGGAAACATGAGAATGCAAGTCATGAATTTATGATAACGCTGATGAATAGTGTTAAATAGTTGTTGACAGTTATATAACTATGGTCACTGACTGCATGATGTTGATCACTGAAATAACAGTTTATCTGTTCATTTGTGTGTTCAGCATTCAAAACGGGATTAGTTGCATTTCTGCTTTTGATTACTAAATCCTTTGAAAATTTCTGAAAACCTATTGAAAACACTTCAATTAAACAGTAATCAGTAAAGTCTTGAAATGGTGGAGAAAATTTGTAGCTCAGATGGATGATTGTGGTGGTGTTTCGTTAGCTGAGTTGAATGTTTTGGTTGTGATTCATTCATTTAATGGTCTTTTGAACAACATAATCAGCATAAACTTCAGTTAGAAGTGACCATCAAAACAAAGGTGTAAACAACGACAGGTTTAATGCTAACAGCAACCAATCAAGATTGAGGTTAATAGAACAAACTACAGGTCAACCGTGGGGAAAGTAGAATACTTGACTTCTTCTATATGAAGTTTATGCTGACGATGTTATTCAGAAGAACAATGAAAACTCCACAACCAAACAACATTTAGCTCAACGAACAAAACGCCACCACAATCAGTACAGCATTAGACAAACATTTCTCGAATAATGGTGGATTATTTTTCATATCCTGATTGGATAATTATCAATTTCGTTAAACATTTTAGCATGCTTCTTAAAGCCTCCAGAGAATATATCAGGTTCATTTGTAAAATTATATATTCTCTTGCTTACTGTACTTTAAACAAATCTCGGAGCGTTAAATTCTTTTTTATCTTTCGTTTTTGATGGTTTAAACTGTCTAAGAACTTTAAATAACTGTAGACAAGTCAAAAACACAGCACCGAAATTGTCACTTATCAGGAGGTGCATCAATCAATCCTGTACAGCCGTTAACTATTGGTCAATTTGTTTTGATCTCAGTAATGACGTTAAAGAAGACAAAGAACACATCCGATCACTTACATGCTTTCTCTTGTTATCCTCAGGTCTCTAACCAGTCTTCTCCAAACTACACCTTCCAGTACCTTACTTTCCAGCTGTGTCCATTTTTTTTCATTCTCTTCATGTCTGTCTCCATTCGATTCTTGGCGTAATGTGTTTTTTCGGTTTTTCTCCTTTTCTTTGACCTTGAAGGTTCCAAATGATCCTATATGTACAAAAAAAATAATAAATTTTACCAAATAAAATATTAACAAATTTTTTGAAATGAATTCACAATGACTTTGTTCCTAATTTACATAAGTAGACACGGTGACCTACTTAAGGTCACTTAATAACACTGCTGTGACTACTACTGTGGTGCGCGCTACTTATAAGTAGTATACGACGCGAGTGAAAACGTAATGTCTGGCAGCAGGAGATGGGGAAAGATCAAGAAAGGAAGAGTGGGAACACAATGGAATTTGTATGAAATAGCATGAATAGTGAAATGTAACAGACAATGGATTGATGATGGATTGAAGATTTGCAAATTAACCGTTTACGATATGGTTTTCCTATTTTACTGAGTAACTCTGTAATTTTCGTTCAATACAATTTGGGTTGCCCTCACCTGTGTTCTCCTTTACTACACTACTACTATTACCTCTACCACTTATCACCACTTAGTTTTAATAAGTTAAAGTAATAAACATATAAAGATTAAATTTAGTTGACCTTAAAAAACTAAAGTCTTTTTTATCATAAATTAAAGTCTTTGATATTCGAATAGAAGTGTAAATAGCCGAGTAATGTTAGCTTATTATTATTTGGCAGCTCAGTGGCCCAGAGGTCAAGCGTTCATGCACAAGTCCGAAAATCCTGGGTTCGATTCGTGCAAGCGGGGGTCACGGATGTGCATCGCCACTGAAAAGTCTCATACTTGAATGAAACAACTATTTTTCAGTGCTTCCAGTTTTGTTATGGTAGTCTAACATGGATTGACTCATACTCAACAATCTCCATAACCCTACTTTGTGATTTACAAGATAACTTAAGAACTACCTTCATGATTAAAACATTTTAATGGAAATTATGCTAAATATCACTTAATAGTAAGTATCATACCTAATACAAACTTTGGGTTTACATCAAGTTATGTTACTGTCATTTGATTTTGAGATGGTAGAGAAAATTTGTAGCTCAGGAGGTGAATGATTATGATAGTGTTTCGTAGGCTGAGCTGGATGCTTTGATTGTGGAGCTTTCATTGTTGTTTTTATGAACGAAATCATCCACACAAACTTCAGATAGGAGTCAAACATGAAAAAATTCGAATACTTCACTTCTGCTATCTAAAAGTTTGCGCTAATGATGTTGTTCAGAAGAAGAACAATGAAAGCTCTACAATAAAAACATCTAGTTCAAAGAACGAAACACCAACATAATTCGGTTATAAAAAAACAAGTTATAACTTTGCAATAAATCCGAATAAAGTCAAATCAACTTTGTGGTAAATAAGAATTGTCAGTTCATCTCTTCTTATACACTACATAATAACTGATGTCACATTTGTAAATATGTGTTTATTATTTCTCTAGTCAAAGATTAGAAATTCCCTATAACATAAAAAATAAAATTATTTTTAAAAAATGTAGGAATAATATTTTCGGGGAAGAAAAAAAAATAGCGATAACAATAATAATAATAATAATAATTTATCACAAAAATCTTATCTTATTTTGAAAATTACCAATAATATTTTCGAAAACCTCAAACACCTGATTAATTAAATTACATGAACCAATCAAATTTCACATATATCACTGCTTTTCTTCTCGAAACTATTTGATTGGTCAATCTGTGTGTATCATAATAGCATTGATTGATTGATTGAATGATATAACTCAACTTACACGACGACCGATTTTTTTTGTCATAAAAATAACCTTATTAATTGGTTTATGCAGTAAAAAATTATTTTTCGGGTTGATCAATTTTTTTGCAATTAAAATGTCCGGATATTTCAATGCTACAAATGATCCTAATTTATGTAAATCAATAAATCGAACAACTAATTTATGCAATCCAACTTATCCACACATCACCAGATCTCCCATCATGACGATTCCACCAAATGACAGTCGAATCGATACAGAAACACATACTATTACACAAATTTGTTTTTCATTAGCATTCTGTTCTACATTGATTCATTTGGCATTTATTTTATATTTTAAACGTATACGGCAACTTTATGGTTTATGTATTATGATACATTGTTTCTATTATGCAGCATCTTATTTCACTATATTACTGACATGTTGTTCCCTAGCAAGAACTAATCATTTGATTCATTTAATATTTGGATATTTAGCTGATTATTGTATATTGACAACAATTATGATGAATTTAAAATCATCAGCCCTCATTGTCTATACATTATTATCAAATCGATTAGGAAGAAATGAAGGAGATTATTATGATTATTATCATCAACTATGTTATTATACTACTAATAATAATAGTGTATGTTTATATGGTATGCGAAAATTATGTCATATTATGGGAAATCTACTCGTTTTCAGTGCACCAATCTTATGTATTCTATTAAGTTGGTGTTTATTTGAACCATATCATTATATTAGTGAAGATCATAAAGAATTCGCTGTGATCTCATGTAATCTCATCCCGAATTATGGGCATTTCTACATATTTTTCCCAATCATTCTGTTTTTGTTATTCATACAATTTATATGTATGTTACTGATTACAAAATTAGTTATGACTCAATATCAAAGCACTGAGAATACAACAACGATGACGCTGATGATGACAACAACCACAACCACAACCGCAGCATTATGGAAAACAAGTCATTTGAATACACGTTATTGGATTACATTGAAATTCACACTGACACATAGTTTAGTATGGTTTATAGCATTTTTAGCATTAATACAAGCATCAATTACATTATGGCATGTATTTACATTATTGTATAGTTTACAAGCAATTTATATTACAGTGAATTGTACATTTACACGTCCTGTTTTAGATTTGCTGTATCAATGGCATGAAGAAAAAGTTGATGATTATCATCATAAACATGAACAGAATTTATTAATGAATAATAATCATATTCTGCCAGGAAATCAATTGAATGATGAAAGAAAACAGTGTGGAATTAGAAATATATCGATCAATTTGTAAAATAAAAACAAACTAACTAAACATAGAGATGATTATGGATAGATGTGTACAGATAGATATGTAGTTTTGTTTTATGATATACATTCTTGTACTGTCAATTGATAGTTTTTTTTTGAAACTATGAATCGATGATCAATGTTAGATCACCATTAGAAGAAACCTGGAAGCACTGCAGAAGACGGCCGTTTCGTCCTTGTATGAGACTACTCCTCATCAGCGGCAGTGCGCATCCACGACTAGTGTACCTCGCAGGATTCGAACCCAGGACCTTCGGTATTGTGCACGAACATCTAACCCATCTGGACCGCTGAGCTGGTATCGATCAATTCACGTAGTTCTGCAACTTCATACACTGTCTTCTTCTGTAGTTACTGTCTACACCCGAACAGGTTGAACTTCACTGGTCACGCCCTCTTCCCACTAGAACTCGGAGAAGATTCCTCAAGCAGCTAATCACTATTGAGCATTTATATTTGTAATAAGTGAAGACAATCGCTCCCTCTTTTTTTTTCTTTTATCATCTGTTATTTGTAAAATTTTTTGAACTAAAAGGAAAATTAAAATTTTTTTTCTACATATAGTTTGTTTATTTTTGATGGGAATCATGAATTCATCATTGTTGAACCGTCATTAGAAATCTGAAAGCAGTGCGAAGCGGTATTGTGATATATATATATATGAGACTTCTTAGTGGCAGTGCTCATCCAAGACTCGAACTCGGAGCCTTCGGTCTCGCAATGGTAACTTTTGACTGCCAGATCACGATAGTAATATCTAACTCGGATCAACCTAAGGATTTTGCGCCACCTTGTCTATTGTCTTCGGTAGTTACTGTTTACACCCGACAAGGTCACGGTATCTTACTAGAACTACAAGAATTCTTTCAAGTCACTAGTCAGCACATTGTTTGTTCTACCGGTAATTTATATATACATATAATTAAATATGAGTTGTAATCATTTTCTATTTCATATAATCTGAATCATTTCGAATTCTCATCAAAAATTTCACCTTTAAAGTATTTTTTTTCAAACTGAAATTTTCCAAGAGAATAATTCATTCAGCATCATTAGGCATTATGTAACAAAATCAATTATTATCAAAGTTTCTTTTTTTTTATTTGAATAAATGAAAATGTAACTTTGAATTTCATTTGGTCTAATCGCAGTGTTAAATAAAAATTCTTTTTTTCATTCAAATTAAGTAAAAGAATGTTAGTTTCAAGCCTTATATAGGTTGATACATACCGTATAGTTAGACGAGGTTGTGTAATAACTGTAATTAATAGTAGTCTGGTGGATACTACTCGTAACGTGGCTTATAAGTAGTATGCGGAGAAGAAGTATGCAAAGAAGATACTAACGGACAGTAGAATGTCCAATCAAAATGTATGGTATTGTAGTGAACGAGAACACAGGTGAGGGCAACCGAATTGTATTTAACGAAAATTACAGAATTACTCAGTAAAATCGGAGGAAAACCATATCGTAAATCGTTAATTTGCAAAATATCAGTTCATCATATCAAACTGGACTGTTCCTGTTGCAAAACATCAACAATCCATTGTCACTATTCATGCGTTTGTTTCATACAAATTCCATTGTGTTCTTCTAACTCTTCTTTTCTTGATCTTCCCCCATCTTCTGCTGTCAGACATTACGTTGACACTCACGTCATACACTACTACTTATAAGTAGCTCGCACCACAGTATGATCAAGACCAGGAGACGTGTGAAATAAGAAAGTAAATAATCTGTCTGTTTTGCAAATGAAAATCTGCAGAATATTTGTACGTATCTTGTTAGTGAATTGTACTTCTCTAAAAACACATCACGATTCCATCTCGTTTTGACATCTATGGTCATTCCAGTAGTCGAAAATGTTGTGTGATATAAATTAAAATAGATCGAAATTGCAGACATCTCATTCTTTACCTAACATCTTTTAAATCTTAGGTTTTACTATGTTGTTTTTTCATAAATACCTTTACATTGTATCATTTTGTAACATATATTCAATGCATTATGGGGTTATGGAGATTGTTAAGTTACACATTTTGAAACCATGAATCGATCAATGTTAGACCACCATTAGAAACCTGGAAGCACCGTAAGACGACCGTTTCGTCCTGGTATGGGACTCCTCAGCAGTGCGCATCCACGACTCCTGCACCCCGCAGGATTCGAACCCAGGACCTTCGGTATTGTGCGCGAACGCCCTAACCGATAGACCACTGAGCCGGTATCTGACGGTGTTAATGTCTAACTTGATCATATTCAATGTTCAAATTTTCTAATTATCATTTAAAATATATATGAAAACGAGAGCTGATACTTTTTATCGTATTATTTCCATTTCATCTTGTTATTAATAATTGATAATTTTGACCAGCATACATATGCTATTAGCTGTAAGCTTGTGGTGTGCCGAATTACTGAGTGTTCTTAAGCTCGGTTTATAAATCAGAACATGAACTCGTATTGATGAATACGTTTATTCGGAACACACCACAAAGCGAAGCGGAGAAGCAGTACATAAAACGAATGAAGCAACGTGAACTGGAGAAGGCTTTGAGCTGACTCCATCGGTTACAAAGCGAACGAATGGGCGAAGCGAACTGGAGAAGGCAAAGAGCCAAATCACTGAGACAATGCATGACTAAGAATTTATAGTCAGATAAAAATAAGACAGACATATGACAAGCGAAATAGGTATGCACACACATGAATAAAAACGACGAATGATTGACAAGGTCAAATGACAAGTGGAACATTTCATGTGAGTTCATCATACAAACCAGACAATAATAAGAACGAATGGTACATATAAATTGTTGCAATACAAACCATGGCTTGGTTAAATAAATTAATCGAAAGTGCTTAACCAAGTTAGATGTAAGCGAACTGGAATACATGTGGAGGCACTACGAGCTGATTACAACAGCTAAGTGAATAAAAATATATTATAATCCTGTGGAAATATTGACTTCTGTCGTTATCGTCCACTGTGCTAAAAGTTTCTTTTGTGAATCCAAAACTATGTGATTCTACTTTCTTGAAGATATCAACATATCTGAATATCATTTGCAGCTTTGAATAAACTTGGTAATCATTCATATTTTCAATAAACACACACAAGTTTCCACTTTTATGACTACGTAGAATTTGTTTTTCACATAAAAAATGTTTCCAAATTTTACTTCTAGCCAATGATAACGTTTTTGATGATAAAAAAACATTATTGGAATTTTCTTCGTGTTGTGGCCTAACCAGGAGTTTGGTAGGTTCATCCTGTTGACCTACAGATATTACCAAAATGACTTAAAATGTACCGCTTCAACTTTGTTCTACAAAGAAGTTTTTGATAATAAATAACCAGTAGTGAATGAAATTCAATATACCTGAGAAATTTATCAATCAAAGTAAGAGTTTGGGATATTCTCAAACAACTGATATTCATTGGTT